CCGATAGACCTATATACTTCTAATGTAACGACTTGTTTCACTCATCCTTTGATTGATCGATTGATTGAGTAGGTGTTTTACGGCACTATCGACTCAATTTTGGTCATATAATTGTAAGTGCCATCCCTTGACCACCAGGAGCTGTGGCGTTCACGACTGCCCCGACTCTCGGCACCTACACGATGTCAATCAGAGCCTCAGACGACTGCGGGAACACGGTGGACGGGACACTGACCATCGAGGTGACCAACCAGGATCCGACTTTCAGCAACCTGGACCACACTTTATCGCAACCCAAGGGAGACTTCTCCGTCTCCACGACTGTCTACACCGTCCTGGCCACCGACGTGGACTCGGGAACAGACGGAGACAGCGTGACCTACAGCTTGACCTCTGTCACGCCCACTGCCGATTTCTCCATCAATTCAGGCACCGGTGAGATACACTTGTGATTATTACTTTTAGTCTTAGTAAGATTTATACGGCACTCGCAACACAATAAGGTCATATAAGTGCCGAAGAATAGATGGAGGAGAGATAAGGACGATATATGTTAGATAGGAAAGAAGGAGCAAACCACACCAGAGCACCCACCAACCACGATTATTGCTTTTCCTTCGCTTTGCTTTGCTTTACTTTCTTCTTCGGCCTCTGTTACCTTGGGGTGTCGAGGGCAGAAGCAAACGTATTTCTCTAATTTGTTGCACCGCCTGTTGCATGGTTATATTGTTTTAATCAGTATGATATTTTGTTACGCCATTGTAAACCAAATTTCCTCACGGTGATCAGTGAAAGGGGAATGTTATTCTAATTAATTAATTAGCTCGTTAATTCATTCATTTATTCATCTCTCTCTCTCTCTCTCTCTCTCTCTCGTTTTTTCTTTCTTTCTTTCTTTCCTTCTATATTTCTTTCTTTCTTTTTTTCTTTGGTTCTGCCTTCATTCATTCATTCATTCATTCATTCATTCATTCATTCATGCATTCATGCATTCATTCATTCATTCATTCATTCATTCATTCATTCATTAACACACATCTCCAGGCGCTGTATCTCCGAGCACCTCGGCTCTGACACTAGGCACGTACACCCTGAGTGTGATGGCGTCTGATTGCTGTGGGGGGACGGCCAACGGGACGCTCACCATAGAGGTGAGCTGAATTAATGTTGATATTGTTAAAGTCGACGCTGACCATAGAGGTGAGGCTAAAGTGTTGGGGGTGAAAGTTGATTTTCAAACTGACCATATTCATATGGCTAAAGAGGTGATGCTAACCGTTAATTTCAACACTGACCCTGGAGGTGAGGCAAAACGTTAATTTCGATGCTGACCATATAAATACTATATGGGGGCTCTCGTGGTATAGAGGTACGGTGTTTGCCTCTCATTCAATAGGTCCCAGGTTCGTAACCTGATGGACACGGAATTTTTCTTCTCTTAAACGTTCCCCTTTCACGTCCTATACTGCTCTCTAATCATGTTTTCAGTCTTGTGCTTTTATCTCCGCTTTCTGCCC